TCCTGGAACGGTATGGAAGCTCTTTTTGCCAATCTTCCCAGTCCCATTCCACATTAACCACCTCATCTGAAGCGTGATCGTGGATCTTGATCTCGATGGGTTCCCTGTAAGAATCGGAGTGCACGTATGCGCCATTGGCAGTCACCATGATCTCGCCTGCCTCGCCGTTGATAGTCCATATAAACCCCGGGGTTCCTTTGAATTGCTGTCCGCTCCTATAAGTAAAGGATAACGTGGCGTCTTTCGTAATGCCTCCCTTTCCCTTAGCTAGTACCCCATGAACAGCTAGTAGATCTGGCACATCGCTCTCCTTTTCCTGAATAAGAGTGCCGTCCTTACCCAAGACTTTGACGACCGGCCGCTGTATTTGCATCCGGCTCTGAAATGCGGTAAACTCTCCGAGAACTTCGTGGATGTAATCGATAGTATGTCCATAAGCAATGGTTATGGGGTTGCCCCCAACATTTCGGTCTGCAAAGTACGAAAGGCCCTCTGGCAGCGAGTCCTTGGGTAAAAGATTGCCGTAGGCACGAACGTCGCTACTTAATACTTGACCAATTCGACCGGACTTGAGAATCTCTGTTAGTTTAAGGACTATGGGCGAAACGCGTCCCTGAAGTCCAATGATGCTGTTGTCTAGACGCCTGTTATTCGTCAGAGCTATGGCCTCCTCATAACTCTCCACGAGAGGCCATTCTATGTAGACAGCTTTTCCGGCCCGCAAGGACGGTCCCGTAGTCGAGCTATGAGTATCGACGCGGGTACAGCAGACGACCAAGTCTATATCTGGATCTGAGGCTAAATCGTCCGGGTTGCCATAAGTCTTCACATTTGAAGGGAGCAAGAAATATTCCCTGGCTGCTTCCGCCGACGCGGCACTCGAGTTGAGAAGTGCCACAATCTCATACTGGGATTTACCGCGTGTAGATAGGAGATACGGCAAGTGTCCCTGCGCGGCCCAGGAGGTCTTTGCAGACGAGGAAAGACCGACGAGCGCTACACGGATGGGAGTTTTCGACATACTGAAGTGAGATTTATACTAAGGTTAGTGGTTATTTGATGATCCCCTTACAGAGCAGTGGATAGAATAAGCCACGTAGGAAGCGGTCTCTTTATATCCAAGACTGCTATGCCCATACCATCCCTCCGCTTTAGAAGCCATCATATCACGAAGCTGACGACTTACAAATACATACAGTGCCCATATAGCTTAATACGGTATGTCCCCAGGGGAAGAGCTAGCGGTTTTGAGTGGTAAGACACAGTACGAGATACAGATGGGCGACATACAATAGCCCCGTTTATTTCCAGTTTAGGAAAATGGTCCTCAATATTTATTACGTGCCTCACGTAGCATCAGCATCTCCTCAATATCTTCACGCATCTAGTCCCAAGAAAGACGCTAACAATGGTGGCTTTTATCCACAAAGACGTATAGTTCAAGAGCAGCCCGAAACCCAAAAAGACGCTCCCGTATATAAAGCAACCCCGAGAACAGCTCCAAGAATAACGCGCTGAAGAACGCTTCTAGCAATCTCTACCCCATCCTAACTGTCGGTTTACTTCGTCCATAGCGCTGATTCCGGCCCTGAATAGGCTTACTGCCCCGTCGACCGTCGAGTTTCCAGACTCGAAGGTCGGTTCGGGCGCTTCTGCCCGCCTCAGATCCGTCTGATCCAACTGTCCCTGACGCTTCCGCAACACAGCCCTAGATATGGCTCGCCCCCACATGTTGAACCACTGGTCCTCGCTGATGCCCACGTACTGTCGAATGCCGTCATCGTCAATCTTCGAGAACGGCCATTCGGAGACGACAACCTCCCACCTCTTCGTACGTAACCACAAGTACGGCCAGGAAAAGATGAATAGGAGGGTAAACGTGAACAGCATCTGTATCCACGTTGTCAGACGCCACCTGTTTATCCTGGCTTCGTTATAGCACTCGATTAGAGAGTCTTTGGTCACCAATTCTACCTTGAGATGACCGCGATAGTTGGTGCCGTTTACCAACTCTCTTAGCTTCCTCTTAACGCCTTCTTCGTCGAAGCCGATCATCCTCCGTCGGAGCGCAAAGACCTTTAAGCCCGCGTGACTGGCAGAGTACCGGTGGCACCACTCCTGCAGCGTCGGCTTCGGGGTGCCACCAACCTCGATGCTTTGATTCGAGCCGGGAGCACGCTTCCTAAGTATGGTACCACGACGGGTCTTTTCGCCGTTCTCTACGGTCCGGATGTAATTCCAGGATCGACGATATTGGGCATCCGAATAAAGGTAGGGCGTCAGCTCGACCGAAATGTCGAAGTCGGTAATCGTACTCTTCTCCATCTTGCCCTTGCTATCTCTAGTAGTCTCGGTATGCGTTCCGACAATCTTCATGTACGGTCTCGGGGGTATAGCAGCGAGGTGTCGAATGTGTTTTTCTAGATTATCCGGGTTCTCGAGACTTTTGGCCACCCAGTATTGGGCGCCAGTATTCAAGTCGTTGAACCACATGGCATCTTCGACGAACGGAGTCTGGGCCATAGCCAAGCCACCACCGGGAGCAGCGGTCTGTGCATCGGGAGGTGGAAGTAACGATTCGCTCTCGGTATAGTTCGGCGGTAGGTCATTGATAGAAACTTCGGGGATGTCGGGGATGTTGAGATCGTCGTTGTCGCTGTAGGCGACTCTAGAACTCTCGCCAGGATTGGTATGCAGAGAAACGGCATCGTCTGCCGCCTTACTATCCGGCTTACCCATGTTTGGGAAGATTGATGAGATGGTCAAAGGTAGTTTTGGATTCTAGTAGATGCAATCGTTCATGTGGGTTCTTTCGGAGAAAACGAACGATTAGGCAGCAGAAGGCAAAGCTGAAGAGTGATTGACAAGTGAGGCTGGATTTCGTACGAAACACTAAGCACAGGTACCTAAAACAGAGGACTCGATACGCTAAACCCGATAAGCTAATGCAGGTTAGCGGTAAGCGGCGGGGCAAAACAGCACCATGGGCCCACCTGGTGCCAGGTACCTGCCTAAAGGTACCTATTTAATTTAGGTCTTGACCTGATGTACCTAACTACCTAGGTACGGGGAACCGAGTCGCCCGACCATTGCCCCACTCCCCACCCTACCAGTGCATGGGTGGTTTGTATGGGCGGAGTGAAATTCACCTGATCAAGAAGGTATTCAAAAGCTTATCTTACTATTGTTCTAATATTTTATTATTTTCAGTAAGATATTCGATCAAAATATATTTTTTTTCTGGTAGAGCAGTACTCCTTAGGTGCTCAATGAGTACTCAGTAAACCTTTTCAGAGCCTATTCAACTATATTTATTAGTTAAATTTTTGTTGAATACTTAATGAGTATTTATTAAGAATATAAATAGTACCTTGTGGATTGAGTATTCTATGAGTACTTATTATCTAAGGTATTTGGTTAGATGAACTCTATACAATAGGTAGGTTGAATTTTTGCAATGGTTTAGTTAGGTCAAGTGCCTTCATACAAACTACCCATGCACTGGTAGGGTGGGGAGTGGGGCAATGGTCGACCGACCTATGGTCTCCCTAGGTACCGACCTCCGTCTACATTTACATGTAGTTCATCAACATCGTCGATATTCATCACAACAACAACAACAACAACAACAACGACAACAACGATCGAGATGCAACAACCATCATATTTCGAAACCATAATGGACTTTATATATTATCGACGCTGTTTTAATATAATTGCTGTTGCAGAGATAATGTATAATCACACGTCGCCTCTCTAAAGTAAGCCATCCTTATGCACTCGCATCACACAACACACACTCCACGTCATCTCTACGATACCTGGCACCGCCTCGCAACGTCTTACAGCATTTTGCAGCTACCATCCTTAATCCATAATGACCACCGCTTTTGCTACGGGAGTCCTTGGTCAACATCAGTCCCTATTCTTCCGTCTTCCGGGCGAAATCCGCAATCAAGTCTACGAGTGTTGCCGTACTAACGCAGCAACATCCTTCACTTTTATCGACATAGCCCAGCCTCGAGATATTGCTTTGAATCTCTTCAATCTACCCGGCTTTCTCAAGACCTGTAAGCAGATATACAACGAAGCATACGGTACAGTCTGTGCATCTCACGCAGAAATTACCGCTATCACGTATCCTGATTTCCGTAACGGCAATGTCTGTGTCTCATCCAACGGTGTTTTTCGACCTCTCCAGCTTCGCTCCCTGACTATCAGGTATATTTATAATATTAGGCCTACCTGTGATCGTCTCTTCCCGTTTGTCTATCGGATCACCAAGATAGCTCGTAATCTCAGCCGTATCAAGGTTATAATCGACCACGGTCTAGATTTTCCACGACCCGAGTGGACGAAGCGAGGATGCCTCCTAACGACCTTCTACAGGCTAATTCCAGTCATCGAAATGACCGAGCAGCTAGAATCCGTCCAACTAGAAGGCCCATATAGTCTCGATATGGCTAAGCTTTTACGTATCAAACTCGCTGAGGAATATAAGGAGAAACAAATAAAATTGTATACAACCATGGAAGACGGTTCCCCCTGTCACGTAGTAGCTTCGGATCTGGAAGTGTCATCAAGCGACGCGAGAATATTCGACAGATTACATACCAATGAGTTTGTAATCAGTCTGGCGGAAGCCCAAGATATAATGTACATATAGGTCTCGCCCTATGTAACCTAAAGTCGAGCAAGGCATCCCATACCAGATGAGGATTCGTAATTGGCAGTAATGCACATGCTATCCAAGTCGAATAGCCGACGATTGAATTACCCGGGAAGTATATCACGTTCATAAGATCGAATTGGCAGTAGCACGTAGCTTGCCAGATGAGATAGAATAGCCCAATGCGACGTCATCCCAAATGAATGTCTTTGAGCTCCGAATCGTCTTAGGAATCTCATGCAAAAACGAACTAACTAGGTATATTGCAGGTATGTGATTGTAAAATGAATAAAGGAAAGTTGGGTCGACGTAAAAGGGACAAAAAGAAAGAAGCCCAACGGGGGACTCGAACCCCCAGCCTCTGAATAACACCAGTTATTAATTAAAGATAACATAGTAGAAGTTCAGCGCTCTGCCATTGAGCTAGCCGGGCTGGCCTGATGTAAAATTTAGAATGAATTCTTTGTTTATATGTAAGAGGGCTTTAGCGACAGTGTGCGAGCTTTCAAAATGCCAGCAAAATTTTTCATCCCTTAGATGCTCTTTTTTTTTTTTTTCTTCTTTTTTTTCAGTCATAAAGAAACACTCGTCACCACTCCACATAACTAATTCCAATAACCTTATAAATAGTATTAGTATCTTTAAAATACTAGGTAAAATCTCATAAAATACTAACCCATCCACTTTTCCACGTGAGATAGTAACCCGATATACACACACCTAATTTGTAAAAGGTTTAATTTAACCCCTAATCAAAATAGAATATTGCCCAATTACATTTTAAATATATTATAACCCTAAAATACCATTTACCCATTAAAATTATCATTAATACTTAATATAATAATTTATTAAAATTTTAATATTCTAATCCCATTTTAATATTATATTTCTAATTTAATTTAAACCAATAACCCCCTTTAATCCTCTTGAAATTATATTATCAATTTGTACACTTATTTAAACCCCCCAAAACCCTACCGATTTAACTTCTCCAACCTCGATCAACGCCAACGCTCATAGCAGCAAAGCCTAATATAACCTTTTTTAATATACATAGGTTACAAGGTATATAAAATTAATTTCAAAATTAATTCCAAGGCATATAGTACCCTCCCCAACCTGAATTTCAAGCACCTGTAATGCCCTCGCAACACCAAAATTAATGGTTTAATCAATTTAATTAATTTAATTAATTAAATACATACAATTGAAATTCATATTACTATAATAATTAAATAAATATATAGCTAAAAGGAGTAATTAGGAAATTATTTAAATTTTTATAAAATAATTAAATTAATTAAATTTATTATATTATTTTAAATATTAAATATATAATATATAATCAAATAATATTCTATTTTAATTAAGGATTAAATTAAACCTTTTATAAATTAAATATATATATATCAGGCTACCATCTTACATGAAAAAATGGATGGGTTAATATTTTATGAGATTTTACCTAATATTTTAAAGATACTGAAATAATATGCAATCTTAACCCTAATAAATTTAATGAACTGCATAGACCGTGCATTAGGGTCAAGTGGGATGAATATTGTGAATTCATTGGTCAACATAAATCGCATCTTCAAAGCCTCCTTCCACAATAAAATAGCCCTAGGACAAAAAGATGAGGGAATTATCCAGTAAGAAAAAAATTGAAGAAAAAAAAAGAGAAAAAAGAATGACAAGAGTGGGACTTGAACCCACGCGGATTGCTCCATGAGGAATATAGGAAATATCCCGTATTAAGGTGACCTTAACCTCACGCCATAACCAACTCGGCCATCTTGCCGTGATTTCTTGGGCTTTTATTGCCATTTACATAGGTACCTAGGTAGTGAGCACAAATCTCAATCCTTCGCTAGTGAGTTCATTCGCACAGAGTTTTGATTGGATGACAAGTTCGAGCATACACACCTCTCTTCCTCTTAACCCTACTACACCAAAAAAAGAAAAAAAGAAAAAAAGAAAAAAAGAAATACTAGCCCGTGCTAGACCAATTCACACTCAGCTGGCTATGTTTTTTTTATACACGTCGTTTCATAATACCCATGAAACAAGCAATCATCATCTCTGACGAAGGTAGTAGTAAAGGTAGTAACCTAACCTAGGTAGTAATGCATGCATCCGTTTATCCAAGTACGCAAAAAGGTAGAGCAGGATAAAATCATAGGTAAACAGACCGAATGAAGAATAGCTAGATCTCAGCACTACCAAGAAAAGAAGCAAAAAGAATTTGCCCATCACAGGAGTCGAACCTGTTGCCTCCTCATTGCCACGTATTACAACCACAAAGACACAACTCGTAAAGAGTTTAGTTATTTGGAAGTGATACTAGTGAGGCGCTCTACCGGTGAGCTAGACGGGCGTATTATCGAATTGGCCCACTTCCAAGATCAAGCTAGGGTATCTAGCTGCTGGGGATGAAATCTCTGCATGCTACAATGCTTTATTAACATGTTGACTTTAAGCAGAATAACAAATAGGACCCGCCCTGGATACCTATGGATATAGCAAAATCCCATCTTCATACTTCATCCAGAGCAATACATAGGTAGGTATTTAGACAAACTTGGGTCGATTCTTTACAGGAACTCGATAGGTAGCTACATGCGCCTCTAGATATATTTTTTGTTCTATACGCCTAATAGAACCTTGAAAATGACATATTCCGTGTAGGCCTATACGATAGTACTCGACTAGAACTGGGTTCCATTAATCAGCTTGGCCGTTATCTACGGGCCGGTAAGGCGGCTCCAGGTATATTTCCGTAGACTACGTGAATGCGGAAATGATTTCGTCGTCGAGAAGGATAGGCTTGATCGGGAAAGACATACTTTGGCAATATAGATCGACTGGTCACGCTTACCATTCCCAGAATTTACTCTTTGGACCGCTGCAAGGGTCAAGTATACCTCTATACGCCTCAACTAACTTCGTTCCGCCTAGACACTATGCCAACACAAATCATTGTAGTTTGCTATACGCTGTAACGTACCTACGTATATGTGCGCGTATGTTGTTTATTTGGGGATGCCTGGTGGAATAGCTCACGTTGACAATGTGACTTTTCTCAACACCGAGCTTTCTCCTATACGAACGCATGGCCTATACGTAAATAGACAAGACAAGGCAAAACAAGACCTGGGTTTTTGATTACTAGGTTGAATTTGTACAAGATATGATGCACCACCGAGAGGTAAAGCCCAGAGCCAAGCGTAGCATGTCTTTGGCTCTGCTCTGTGGGTGGGCATCGGATTAAAGCGAGGTGTAACGGCAGTTGCATAGCCTCCGAGATATTATGTCACCGTACAGCCTACTGCGTGGCAGTTGTAGTCCGGGGCATCAATTGCAAACCCCTATTGCCCGAGGAGACAGGAATTAGCTCGTCAACGGAGAATGTGGTTGGGGGGATCTACTTTGTAAAGATAGTGGCTCTATACTATATGCAATGCCTACCTAGGTAGGTAGGTATGTGTATCAGGATAGGTTCGAGAAGCGGATAGATCTTTGGCCATCGTGACATTATTGTGGCAGGAAATCTAACCGTATGTGGGGGCCGACTCTTAACACCATACCGACTGGCTAGTCTAATATGCAGAGTACTCTATTTTCCACATTGTAAGGCAGCCCGCATCTATAGTCCATACTGTGTTTCGCCCTGTATATCTCATAATGACAATAGAGCATTTCCCAATAGCACGAACAGACCTATATAGCCATAAAGGATTTGTGAACGTGGTGCTATTACCGCTTCAAGCGTAGTGCTCCAAGGACATAGTTGGTAAGTACCTAGTTTTACATCTTAGGAACTAGGAGACGTAAGGGCTTGCGTTAGTATAAGAATCGCTATATTACACGAGGTGACTGTGCGGGCTCATCACGATGACGATCCCATGCGTGTAGGGACGGGCCAAACTAAAATATACCCGGACTATCTTTTCTTTTCGTGGGATCGCCGCATGAATCCGGCTTGGGGGGCTGAAGCGTGTGTATTAATGATCCGGGCTCTATATTGGTTCTCGAGCCCGAGTGGTGGAGGGCACGTTGTTCGAATTGGCCAGGAAGGAATATCACGGGTTATTTGCTCCAACTTCCCCTCGTCGAGTGCAGCAATCGAATGTAACGAGAAGATAGTTCCGCATCCCAAGAGTTACGGGGAGGATCGTCTATTGATAAGTTTCATCGGCAGTTCGACGCCGTGGGAGTGCAATGTGCTCCAGCATTTGCTACCGGTTGAATGCGTCTCGATCAAAGTCGAAATTCATCTCTCGGCTCACCCGGGGCTAGGTCATAAAGGTAGAACTATTGTAAATATAATCCTAGATTGGCCTGCTGTGTCCTATGCCGTTGGAGTATCGCCATGACTCGGGATCTAAGGAAAGGCCCTAGCCAAGCTGAGGTCAAGAACCCGTCAACCCTATAAACGCGTACTATGCTGGACAATCACAGCATCAGCATCGAGCGCTAAGGTACGGCAGGGCAGCTATTGGCGTGAGCTACTCATGCAAGTTGCTTCCTTCGGATAGACCCAACGAAGTAAAACGAACTATAATATCGAATAAACTGCGGGGAAGCATGGGGTGCATACAGATTGTCGGGTATTTGACCTCACAGTAGCTTTCACCCCGCATCATACGCTTGACTTGCATATGAACTGCATCTATCAATGGCCAATGAATATGCAGATATATGTAGACGTGTATGTAGAATTGCCTAGTAGAGAAAGGGGACAGGGGTAAGACGGCCACAAGGCTGTAAAGGCCAACTCTCCGAGCCTCACCGAGATGCCGCTAGTTGCTAATAGGCGACATGGCATCTCGCTTTTCCATATACGTCGATCGAGACCTCTATATACCACTATATACGAGTTGGAGGCGTAACGTGGATACCTAGTTTAAACAAGAAACCCGACGCCAGAAATCCCGGAGGCTTACCCAGCATTTAGAACCAGGTTGTTTCGTGCTTGGACGAATGTGACCCTTCCTGCCCTACCGGCGAGTTCTCTCTCTTGGGATCGTATTCCCTTCCATCCGACCAATTTCTCCCTACAATTGGGACCGATGCAAAGATGTTGCATCACAAAATATCAGATGACCTCTTCTAACTATGGGCTGCCAGACATGTCGAATACTTACCGAGAAAAGGGGGGCGCTGTTGGAGGATATAGCTAGTAATCGAACTCGGGCGCATAGTCTGGGTATTGAGAAGGGACTATTGGCAACTCCTCACGAGGTATTCAAGTGCAGGGATCCCCCCCTCTCCTAACGGATATTTGGATCCTGCTCGCCCGGCTTTCGAGAAGCATAAGAACGCAATCGTCACCCTCCAGCGTAGTTGTACAACATGTTCTCCAAGATATTCGGCTGGGATCAAAAGCAACAACAGGAAGATATGAGTCCCCTACCTGAGGAATTCGATATTATCGTATGTGGTGGTGGGAGCTGCGGATGTGTAGTAGCTGGTCGGTATGTTATCATGACTAGAGGTTTTCTATGCAAGTACTTATCCCACATAGGCTTGCCAATCTAGACCATAACCTCAAGGTTCTTCTAATCGAAGCTGGCGAGAACAATCTTAACAACCCATGGATTTTCAGACCCGGGGTTTATCCCCGTAACATGAAGCTGGACTCGAAAACGGCATCCTTCTACGAGTCCCGCCCGTCCAAATGGCTCTCGGGTAGAAAAGCGGTGGTTCCGTGTGCCCACGTCTTGGGAGGTGGTTCTAGTATTAACTTCTTGGTATTTGAAATGCCCAAAGAGGAATTGCTTACCGCTAAAACTTGGTAGATGTACACACGCGCTTCGGCTAGTGACTACGATGACTTCCAGGCAAAGGGGTGGACTACTAAAGAGTTGCTTCCTCTTATGAAGAAGCACGAGACCTACCAACGAGCTTGTCATAACAAGTAAGTCCTAAGAACCGAGGAGATCGTCGTGTTCTAATACGCAAAGGGACCTTCATGGCTTCGAGGGACCAATCAAGGTTTCATTCGGCAATTAGTAAGTCGCGATCTAACATTCGAACTCGAAGTCTGATAAATTGACACGTCCTTAGCACGTATCCGGTAAAGGAAGACTTCCTCAGGGCAGCAGAATCTCAAGGCATCCCTGTCGTTGACGATTTGCAAGACCTAAGTACCGGTCACGGCGCCGAACACTGGTTGAAGTGGATCAATCGCGATGTATGATCTCGTACCCCTATTTTCTTGTCCTGCAATTGACGGTTCGTGGTAGACCGGCCGACGCAGCGACAGCGCCCACGCATACGTCCATTCGACTCGTGCTGTCCACGACAACCTTTATCTAGCTTGCAATACCAAGGTCGATAAGATTATCATCGAGAATGGAAGGGCCGTAGCCGTTCAAACAGTGTAAGGCTAATCAAGTTCGAACCGCGGGTAAAATGCTGATGTCCATCAAGACCGACCAAGCCGCTTCACCCTAACCAACTAAAGACTCGCACTTTTAGAGCCCGAAAACAGATCGTCGTATCTGGAGGCACGATTTCTTCTCCGCTCATCCTCCAACGATCCGGCATCGGTATGCTTCTCTAGTTGAGTCGTTGCCGCATTTGAACTAACAATCCTTAGGTGACCCCGAGAAACTCAAGAAAGCCGGAGTGCAGCCCATCGTCGATCTTCCCGGCGTCGGTCTCAATTTCCAAGACCACTATCTGACCTTTTCCGTATACCGAGCGAAGCCCGAGACCGAGAGTTTCGATGACTTCGTTCGAGGTGTGCCCGAAGTACAGAAGGGTAGGAATAGTAGCGCTATATTTTGCTAGTTA